TTTCTTCTCTCTCTCTCTCTCTCTCTCTCCCACTTTTCGTTCTTTTTTCTGTCTCCTTTTTTTTTCCTCTCGTCCTCCTCCTCCCCCCCTCTTTTCGTTCTCGGCGACTAGAACCCGGTTCACGGGTGTGTACGCTTCTTCGAGCATTTAGCGCTGCCCGAGCTAATTCAATTATGGGGCCATGGGCGCGCAATAAAAAAATATATGGAAAGTAAATACACGTGCACGCCGACACGAGATATTTTTTCTCGAGGGCAAGCGTTAAGCGTTGGAGCGTTAACGCCGTGGTATTTTCTTTCTTTTTCTTTTTTTTCGAGCGGGGAATCTGAGAAAAATTCGCGGTGGAGCGAGCTTGTCTTTTCCCGAATCTTTTCGGATAGAAAATGAAAATATGGAAGATAGGTGTTTGTATTAGAACTTGTAACGCGTTTCGTTTCCTTATTGAAGTAATAATTAATTTCTTTAGATGGATATCCGACCATAAATGGAAGTCAGAATTTCAACTCAGGTGAAAAATGTGTGGTACAACGGTACGGATGGTTTAACTTATGTAACTTCCATGATATATTGGTATGGTAATAATTGTAAAATCATTTCGCCGTGTCTGCCTTGAAAAACGGTAAAACATGATTTTCATTACGTCTGCCGATAATTCCGCATCTCCTCGGTGATTGAATACGGTGTAATATATGCACGTGTATAATCGTTTCCGAGCGAGACAATCTCGGAACATTGATTATGATGCCTCTTGAGAATATTGTTTGTCCCCGTTGAAAAATTCTTTTCACGGAGGAAGGATCAATGGACGAAGAAGCTTCTCGCGACTCGAAACGATTAGAAGCGACGGTTGTTGTTGATTTCTCGCCAGGGAGAGAAATTTTACACGATAATTCGCGACCGTGCCGTATGGCGTTATAATCAGTCGACGGGTGAATCGCAATTTCGAACGTTTTTCTTCTCTTCTTTTTTTCCCACTTTTCGACGAAGATCGAAGGTTTCACGAACGCGAGAGTTTCGTTCTCGAGAGAATATCATTTACGCCATTTATGATAATTCGAGACTGGAACGAGAACGCTTCGTTCGTTCGAAACAGAACGAAAGGAGAATAAATATTTTCTCGTTCGAATCGCGAGTCGAGACGAGAATTTCGAGAACAATCTTTTCCCCTCGAAACGATCGACAATTATTTTAGACAATTATAGTAGACGCGTGATAATATAAATAAAATTGGAGTGAAAGAAAGAAAGAAGTAAGATCGACTCACCGTCCATCGGAAGGTGAAGTGCAGTTGTAGGGTGACCGGTTCGCTGAGGGTGAAGGTGTTCTGGCCGAGGGCGTGACTAGATACGTTGCCAAAGCTACACGAGCCTATGGCTGTGACGTTCGACTGGTATTCCTTCAAGCAGAGCCAGAAGGCCGTCGAGCACGGTGTCGTGCACGGTGGTAATTCTCCTTTTCCTCCGCCATCGCCTCCCCCGCCGCAACACCTACCGTCCACCAGGGTGCCCCTGTTGTTCGTCAGCGAGAGGATTTGCACCTCGAAGAATCCGCTCGCGTTTGTCGCCTGTTCCAATAATAAACATTACAAATTATTATCATTATTATCCTCTTCCACTTTTAAAATATTATCGTTACGCAATCGAAATATGTTACAATTGCAAACCAATATCTCCATCGACGAGATCCTCGAGTTTGAGGATCGTTGTTCTTCACGTTTTTCGATATTTCGATATATCGCGTTCAATCGTATCGTGTTCGCATTATTTTTCGAACGGATTTATTACGGGCTCGTTAAGCGGAGAAAACGATTCGCATTAAACGGGGCACGATGTTTCGTTCGCCTGTTTCTAATGGGCATAATAAAACAGCGGGATTTTCCAGGTTGGGTCTGTGGCGAAAACGGAAGTCTCCGCGGCCCCAGGAGGCGAAAGGCCCCTCGAGTGTCTATTACGAGGCAGCTTCGAACCGACACGATGGAAAAAGTCGTATCTACGGTTTCGAAACTCCGTACGTTTCGTGCTCCATCCGCCATTTTCCTCCAACTACCTTTTACTCGATGACTTTATTTATCACCTCCGCCCGCTCTTCGACAAAAAATCGTTTAAAATCTCTTTGTAAAATCTCGTTCCGGAGAATTTTTTCAATTTCGATTTCATTAAATAAAACGACGACGACGACGACGACGGTCCCTCGAAAATCCAATTCACGACGATCTGTTCCGCGCGAAAGTCCCCTATCTACTTTCCCATTCACGGTCAAAATTGCGGCGATGGGATCGCGCAATCGCTCGCCTCGATGCCGCAACCCGACGCCGCGAATTTACATCGCCTCTCGCTTTTTCCCCACGTATTATACGCGATCAACAATATAAAAGCGGCACGAAATCGTCCCGTTTCGAACGTGGAGAGTCTTCCTTTCCATCCTTACGAAATCCCTCCTCTCCACGTATCTCTCACCTACACCTATCGGTTTCCAATGCACGCTTCTGAATCGGGCACGTGCATTCTACGATGTACACACACACACACACACACGCACACGTATACAGGGCACGCGTGTATAGCGGTGCACTCATAATGTGTGCATCAGCGAGTGGAAGGATCGTGCACGGGCCCCGGGGGCCTGTGTAATTACCGTAAGAGTAAGATCGAAGGTAGAAAGCGCGGACGATCGTCTGCTGGCCTTTGCTTTCCACAAACCGCTTCCTACTATGTTATATAACGTTCCTCTCTTCGAGTGACATTTTGCCTGGGATCCGAGCTTCTGCGGTTTCGCGGGCAAAGGAGGTGAGGGCATGGAATGGATGAATCTCGAGGAAATTGAGGAGTAAATTACGGATAATGTCCGGCTGCCGAGCGCAGGAAATGATGGAGCCGTCAGGGAGCCAAGGGGGACACGCAGCGTGCTTCCTGCAGCGCGCGAGAAATCTTTGTTAAAACGAAACTGATTTCGCGTTCGTATCGTATGGAATATGGACGAATTTGTCGTTGAATCGAATTTTTTTTCCCTTTGATTCATCCCCTACGATACGATATAATTTTCAGAATTTTACACGGATAAAGTCTGATCATGATTTGATAAATTGCACGACGTTTAATAATCAAGCGTCGCGAAACATACGATATTTGCGTTTCATCGATATATACTCGTGCAAAAATTACTTTATTATGTTTGCTTGCATATGTGGAATACGCAATAAAAATAGAGGTTTCACTTTTCGAAGCGGTTAATCGGTAACTTTCAAAATAGAAACAACACCCAGACCCGTAGAGCTCGAAAATTCTATCTTGAAAATTCAATCGACGTCGAATAACTCTTCCCCTCGAAAGAAAATCCCCTCCTTCCAAGTGTATCATTCCGTTCCGACATTCCCTCCTCAGAAAATTCTCACGTTCTTATCTCAACAAAAGACATTCTTACTTTCCTGTTTTTTTCCAACGCGTAACAATTTAACACACGTTTCCATCCCTCGTCTCGTATCCCTGTTACTCAAACAATTTTCCCCAAGTTAAATAAAATCCAATAACACTTAGCAACATTTGCCAATATCTCTTCCCCCCCCTCCCCCCCGAGAGAGAAATACACGCGATTCGCACGTGTTATCCGTGACTAACTACGTTATATTCGCATCACAGCATAAATCACACAATTGTGAACACTCTCCACTCCTATACTCCTTTTATATACAACCGTTTGTATATAAACGTCATAGTTTATGAATTTCCTTCTAAAACAATCGTGACTAACAATCGCGCCGTTGCCACGCTTTGGACACTCTCCCCCCCCCCTCCCCCCTTTTTTTAAAAGAAAGTAAGAAAAAAAGGAAAACTTTTCCAAGCTAAGATAACACACACCTCCATATGGCGATATATCCGTCCCTTCCTCCTCCCTCCCAGAATATATCAATCGAGCGTGCAAACGCGGAGCGTGTCGCGCGGCCGTAAAACGGGCAGCGTGCGTTTTCTTTGGCCGTCGGTTCGAGCCGTTTCCGCGCGCCCGATCGCCGTCGTCGTCGTCGTCGTCGCCGCCGCCGTTTACGATCGGAGAGAAGGAACGCGGACCAAAAGAAGGAGCGGAGCTCGTTTCCGCCCTCCGCGCGGAACCGTGTTTGACCAACTCGACGGTGTAACGACCGTCTCTCTCTCTCTCTCTCTCCTCTGTCGTTTTATTAGCCGTGCATACTTATTCTGGAGGCACTCGCCGGTAACCCGTTGCCTCCGAAAGCAGCTGAAAACCGTGAACGACTGTTGGCCGGGGTGAAAGAGGAGGGGTGGAGAGAGTTTGCGCGGCCGAAGTTTGCACAGTCCGGTCACGTGCCGACGTGAAATTGGCCGGTGCCGCGGAGATGGCTTTTCAGACCGCCGCCGCCGCCGTCGTCGATGCGGAAGAGCACGGCCTTTTTCAAAACTGGGATCGGTGTACAACACTGGTACGGTTCGATGATACCGTGCATATATATTTATACGTGTGTATACGGGATGTGTATGTTGCGGGGGAAAACGAGGCTGGAATTTTGAAGAGCCGATCGAGGCCGGAGGCCTCTTTCTCACGCGGTCGAATCGGTGAACCTAATCGCGAGGCGACACCACGCGTGATCCGGTTCTCTTATAAAGGATTAATTGGGACGATTAGATGTTCCGTTTTTAGGAGCATTTTCTTTTTTTTTTGGTTATCTTCGTAGATCGTGGATCGATCGTGATCTTTGGTCTGTACATGTACTTTATTAAATGCGGTCAGTTTCGATGGGATACCAATTGTTTTTTTTTTTTTTTGAAATGATGTATGAAAATGATTTCGTGGAATGATCTTTTTTAGTCTTATTTTTAATAAAATTGTTATTAGCCTCGTCTACTTTTTTTACTTTATAGGGCAAATCTCCATGATTGAAGATTTCGAGAAGTAAATGGAAAAATGGAGGACGATTTTGAAAAATCTTGAAACGAATGAAATTGCAAAAGTTGAAGAAACGCGTAGATTTATACGTAGAACCAGGAAATGACATTCACGTCCCCTCGACGATGTTGGGGTATTCACGAGAAGCAAGGACGATCCGTTATTTTCCCATATGGTCGGGGTCCCGGTCGCCACCCAGGCATAATTGAAGATCTTCAGAGCTGTCGAGAGGTGTAATAAACGTGGACACCTCGTATTAACGTCCACTTCCCATCGTGCGCCGCGCCTCTTCAACAATCACTTTGCCCGGGTTGCTCCCTTTCACGGTTATCAGGTCAATTGTGCGAAAGCTCGTTTTTCGCCGGGGAAATCTCCTTTGTGAGGCGTCGATTGTCTCTTTGGTAACGTTATTTCCCTCGTTAACAACAATCCAAACTAGTGATTACCTCGATCGAAACGAGATTGAAATTATTCGAAGAATAATGATCGCGTATACAAATATACACAAGTGTATATTCGAACATGTTTTTTCGACGAATCGAATGAGAAGAAGAAAAGACAGAATATCCGCCAGATCAGAATATCGAGCAAAATGGGAATAATTAAAAACCATGATTGATCGACATATTGTTTATTGTTATCATATAATTTGCAAACGGTTGCAGAAGGTTCGTTCGATATTTTTCTTTTTCCATTCTTTTCCATAATATGAAATATGTATACATCCAGTCTGTTCGTCTCACGGTTATAAAAGATTGATTCTTAGGAGAGCAGTTTAGCGACTGTCAAACTGATTGTCGATCGATGCAACCGATCATCGATTTTTCGTGTCCGACTCGTGCGAATATACGCGTGATCGGTATGCGAGGGTACCGTAATACAAACAGACATTAACGCAGCAACCGGTTAAATGCGTAAGGAAACGACGCGGAGAGCCCATCAGTTCCATCAGTCATTAACGTGTCAACTACCTCCAACTACTTAACAACTATCTATTTAGCAGGGACATCGCCCTTCCTTGCAACCAATTCCCGCGCTTATTCGAAATTTCTTACCATCATTTCGCTTGCTTATTGTTTCTTCAACTTGATTTCTGAAAAAAACATTTGTCACCGCAACGAATTTACAAAGTTGTTTACAAAGAAAATTCTTCTTCGTCGAAACTCGAAAAAACTCGAAAGTCAAAATTTCAAGGTTTTTCAAGAACAAAGCTATATCATCTCATATGCGTCCCTCTAAAAAAAAAAAAAAAAAGAAAAAAAAGAAGGAGATCGGCACGCAGAAACAAAGAAGCGGGATTTCCGTCACGAGATTGATTTCTGGACACCTGGTACACGAGAAGGCAGAGAGTTTTACGCGCCCGTTTTAGGGCCCTTGCCATACGCGCGCATGCACACACCTCTGCTCGTGACTCGTTACGAGCCTCGACCCGCCACGACGACGAGGACGAGCCGTTTCTCTCTCTCTCTCTCTTGGCCGTCCGTGAGCCGCGCCGCCGCCGATCCGCGGGAGAACAGGCTTCCTTTCCGCATAGCCAGGACGCAGCGAGGCATACGCTCGCTCAGCCTCCTCTTCCTCGCGTCCAACGATCGCGCCAGTTAATACGAATAACTCATTCGACCGAAAAAACGGATACACTACGCATACTGAGGAACGAGCCTAGCGTATCCT